GAGACACACATGCATGCACACACACACGCATGCACACGCACACGCACATGTAGGGTAAACATATCCTTATAGGGACTGCTCATTCATTTCAATGCACACACACACACACACACTTTACAGCCCCCCCCCCCCAAAAAAAATCTTGCATTAGAGTTCCCCCGTGCCTGGAAAAAATTACATTTACATTTACAGCATTTGGCAGATGCCCTTAACCAGAGCCAGTGCTTAGAAGTCTCATCAGTGAATACATTCTGGTACTGGTTCAAAAGAACCTGCCTAAGATACAACAGTACAGCCTACTGGGGGCAAACCCCTACCCCTCACTCTGCAAAATCTACTACAGGGATCCTAGCAGGGGGTCCAAAGTGACATTTTGTCAGGGAGCCCAGAATTCCTTGCTATTAAAAGCTGTAGGACTCCCCTTGTTATGTACTGTATGTGAGAAATGGTCTTGGTACTCTAAAACTCTTAAAACTATGGCATCATTACCTATTTCCAGAGTTTTCACCAGGAAAGGATGAGACAGGGTCACCATTTGGTTCCTCGTGTTCCATGCTATGATTGTCACATTAAATTGTGTCCCACGGTTCAATGCTAAATCACAGGCCAGGAACCCAGAACTGAGAAACATTTTGATACATTTTACCACAAACATTGTATCAACAATGATTAGCCTACTACAAAAAGCATGTAACATTAAACAGCTCATTTGTTACGCAGGGAGCTCTATGTAAGTAATGCTGGATGTTTGGACATGATTTTGCTACGTTAGCATATGAGCCTGAGATACTCACTTTGAAATTAGCAAGGAGTATTTTAAAATTCCTGTCTGGTTATGCACAGGTATCCAGCTGCAGGTGATGGATTTCCCATGATAAACATAACAGGAAATGTTTTTCACTGCCTCTGCAAACAACAAACATGTTAAATAAATAACTAAAATTTAAAATGAAACAATGATACATTAGCAATCAAAGTAACTGGAAGTGGACACATCACATGTTTTACTTCAACAGATCCACTCAAACTTATGTTCAATGCGGTTATTTGTTCAGTGTGGAAGAAAATGGCATTTTAACGACACCCAGTCTTAAGCAGGCTCAGGGAAAGAACTTCATTCATGGACAATACCAGAGACACAGCCAGCAACTGCAAAGTGCTCAGTTTGTACAGTTAATTGTTTATTTGATTCTGAGATAACAACAAGGAAATATTAAAGTAAATAAAATAATCAGCCACCTATCCAATGTTAGGTGTAACTTAGGCTTGTGCCCTATGGTGTTGGTAACAGGGTCCAAGCAGCCCCATTAAGATAGGATAAGAGGTTGGAAGCCAGCTAGATGGATGGATGGATGGATATTCTTCCATCTACGTACCTTGCCCCAGAAGTAGAGGGAAATCACATTCCCCATTGTCAACAAAACACCGGTACGGATGTTCAGATGCTGAACACTGTTTCAGATCATCGATATATAGTGTGCATTCTGGAAGAGTTGAAGTAATTAAGTATTACATCTTTTCACAACTCATCAAGTGATACATCGTAATACATTCTAGTGGACAACAGGTCGCTTGCATGTACTTCAGAGCATCATCATAATAAAAATATACATATTTTAGAAGTATTTACCCAACTGGCTGTTTCTGGCTTTACCACCACTGCTGGCATGAGAAATGACACCTGCATTCAAACAGCATTTCAGAGACATCTCACCAAATTAAAAAAAAAATCTTTTGACAAGAGGCCATGATCAAAGGACTCTCAAGTTTAATTAGGAAAAAATCCATAGTTTAATCACTATGAATCTATCCAGCCATCTTAATCATATCTTATGCAATAGAGGGATACAGCACATCATTAAACAACATTTATATATGATGTGGGGGGGGGGGGTGGGAATCATGCTACTCATTCTTTCAATCATGCCTGTGTGACATGAAATGACGGGGGAAAAAATCCTGTTAAAATGAGCAAAATTAAACACTGTCTGACTGGTAGACATAAGTAAAATGATACAATTAAACAATGCAGGCCCACAAAGCCTGCATAACCAGTCAACATTTTACTAGTGTACATTATGATTTACTATGTGCTAACGTCTGCTAGCATGTCTGTGAGGTTACAGTATGTTAGCTTCAGATGCTAGTGGAATTAGCATTAGCTGGAGTAAATTTGCATCACAAATCCATTCCTTTCAGCTGTTTTTTTTAGTACTTTTAGGATTTTATCAGGAATGCATCAATACATCGCGATGTGCGATACTACTAATAACGAATAATATATGGAATATGCCCTCTGATCTCCGGTAGCTCCATGTATTTCGACCAATAAGATGATGGTGAAGCAACCAGGTCAGTTTAGGGAGCTTTTCCACTACACCAGGTACTGCACTTTCGGTATGGTACTTTCAGTACTTTTCCTTTTCCATTGACTTTTGGTCGAGTACCTGGAGTACTTTGAGGTGAGACTGGCAAATACTTTCTTTGCTGACTGGTTATGCAAACAGCCTGCATCTGAAACACGCACAGCCGGACAAATGAAATGACCCAAGCTTTAACTGCGATTTGGTCAGAGAAGAAATAAAAAAGTATTTTGTATAATATGCTAGGGCTGCAAGAGGCGAGGCACAATGCAGGGGAGGATGAGACCATCCGTGTAGCAGCACAAAAGGGCAAAACAAAACAGGTAAATGACAAACTAAGGCAGGGGGCAACATATGAGCAACCACAGTAAAACATCAGCAAACACAGTGCAACAGCAACCACCACAATGACTTCACTATCCCCTGGCTATTCAAAGGGCTTTCTTGGTTGGTATCTATATCCCTCACCCCCTCTTCAGTTCCTGACCTAGCAGTGCTCTGGTCAGAGCATCAGATCATGAATTACGAGTCCCCCCCATTAATCCTGTTCTGTCTATGGAGCATGTAAGACCCAGGGGACACAGAGAAGGGGATGACCAGCGACCCCAGCTGGCCACAAAGGGAACCTGACCAACTGAAAGGGGAAGGACAGTTGGCTTAGTTCTTTTTATGCAGATAAATCACATAATATTTCAACTGTCTGTCTGTCTCTCTCAAATATTTTTTGATATTTATGAGTTCAGTATCCAATAACTTGTGCAAAATGTGCAACAAAGGACCATATTTAGTTTATGGCAAGCCATAAGAAGTAACTTACTGTCACACTAACAAAAGAAAATAAGTGAAAACTTTAGAACCATGCCTCAAGTATTTTAGGTACTGTTGTATGCATATTATATTTACAAGGAACACAGGAAATATGGCAAACACAGCACAAACTGTGTTCCATGTGATTATATATTGGGCTTATTTTTGGGATTAATTTCTCCACCTTACTTTGCACAGTGGGCTTATTGTTGGCTTGTTTTCAGGGTTTTGGCTGCTTGTCCGTGAGACTTGGCAACGCGGGTACGACTCACATAACCTACAATGAAAAACCATCTCTATGAGGTTTGTCTCAGGTATGGATTGGGTTTTTGTGGCAGTGGAAAAGCGCCATTAGTTCAAAGCCTCTGTTCATCACAACACACCCAAGCTAAAGAGCCTCGGGGCAGCCTTTGTGGAAGGCTCTATAATCAATGAAATGGCATGGAATTGAATTGAATCTAATCGAATCTAACTGAATTGAATTTGTGTGGGTCATTTCTGCAGGAAGCAGTGATACAGCATCTACATGCTATTCACACCTGAGAACCCAGGGGGTTAGCATAAAACCCTAAGGCCAGGCTGACAGTCATACGCCAACATTGTACATTTATGAATGTGGTTATGAATTTATAACCTACATTTAACATGTTTTGACCATCTGGAGTTTATCATGGTGTGACCGAGCCCTGAAGCTTTGTACTCTATGTATTTTACACATGCACAATATCATCATGCTGCTCAGAAATTAACCTTCAGGTCTAACTGGATGTCATCTGGTCAACTGTCAAGATGACGCAGAACTCAGTGGGAATCAGATGGATTAGAACTCCATGGTACCCACCTGATACTAATGTCAAGAAGGTAAAGAGACACATGGAATAGCCAAGGTCCAGTCCATACACTGTGTGAAAACAAAAGCATACTTTAATAAGCTTCCACACATCATCTAATGATCTTTGCAAAAACCTTATCCCCTCAACAGCATCACTGAAGCTCTCACACAAAGACATCTAGACATATCCCATCCATCCATCCATCCATTTTCCAGCCTGCTTATCCTACTGGGTTGTGGGGGGGAGGTCTGGAGCCTATCCCAGAAGCAATGGGCACGAGGCAGGAAACAACCCTGGATGGGAGGCCAACCCATCCCAGGGCACACCAGTCACTCACACATGCACACCTAAGGGCAATTTAGCAACTCCAATCAGCCTCAGCATGTCTTTGGACTGTGGGGGGAAACTGGAGTACCTGGAGGAATTCCCACAACGACACGGGAACAACATGCAAACTCCACACCCAGGTCCCAGAGGTGTGAGGCAACAGTGCTAACCACTGCACCACCATTCCACCCCTCTAGCCCCTCACAAACAATTCCATGAAAAAACCTTTATTCCAAAATACCCAACATGCATGCATATATTGGCTATAGAATAAGCATGGAAATAAACTCATACGGTCATATATTTCGCTCTCAAACATTCAGCCTCCTAAACATGCCACCTAAATGACTCACAGATACTCAGTCTACGTGAACGTACACCGACATACACCAAATTTACTACGAGGGCTGTGTTTATCATGCAATGGGCTTCTAAATGCAATCTAAATGGGCTTATTACGCAAAATGTGTGTTCTGAACTCTCATATATATATAAAAATTGGTTTTAAACCTTTATATTGTAAATTTAAATTTCATCTAAATTACGTAATATTGATAATGTCTAGAATTCCTAATAGCAGTATAAGACATTATATAAATTTCACAATTAATTAAAGCAAATCTTAATTCAAATATGAACAGCTACAGTTAGGCTTATCAAGACAACTCACTGTTGTAGAGAAAGCAGGCGTATCCCAGAGTCTCAGTGAGATTGGGCAGTCGTGTTGGGCAGGTGACACAGAACGCAGTGCATGTCAGCCGTCGCTCTGGTCTTTCACCATGCCTTTCCGGTATGACTGATAAATACCCTCTCCACCCTTAGCATGATTTTCCCAATATCTTGCCACATCCCCCTTTCTCAGAAACGGAACCAAAATGCAAGACATTGCTTAACTACTTTTATCTGCTGAAATCAGTTCAAAATATTGTCATAGGTTAAAACTCTTACAAAAGCTCAATTTTGTATCCCCTTGTACACACAGAGAGCCACAGGTTAAGGGAATGAAACGAAATTATTTTTACAGTCCAGAGAGTTAACATGTTTATAATTAGCCGACCCTTCCAAATGATGGTTCAGCTGGAGGAATACTTTGAAAGTGAGATGTTCTTGGAAGAGATGGGGCGTTAGTCATTCCCTCAAGGTCATAACGCACTCTGCAGTCTGGATGTGTTTGTGTAGCCTGGTCCACGCATTAAATGTCTAATACGAGACTAGGTTTCTAGAATTTCATGGTCTATAGAACATTACCTACAGTACAAGACATCGATGACGGGAAGTCCGCTCTTATCTCAGTGATGTAGCAAAGCCCTTACACAATTTCTTCCACTTGGTTACAATTTGGCTTGGATCACAACCTTCAGAATCACTAAGGAAACTCTATCAGACAATGGATTCACTGGTACCCCCAAGGCCATTTTACCAGTCCATGAATTCTTTGTATGGCATGGTACGCAGACATCAAAAGGTTGGGAACCCCAAATGGAAAAGATGGTGGAAGCCCTGTTGCCTTGCTCTAGGACTGCACCTAAAGATTTTTAAAAACTATAATAAACTAAATTGTGATGGGAAGTTACAGTTGGTTTGTATATAACAGCACAGGGTTAGTGAAACGGGATGTTTTAATAGCTACTGTATGAGCTTCCTATTCCACAGAGGAGCTGATGACTGCAGTCACGTGTGAGTCGTGTTTCTTTTAAGCTGCAGTTTTGTGATTCCTAGTTTATCATTCTTATGGAAATTCTCATCTGTTTCACCACATAAGGATGTAACTGACAATTAAAATATATATTAAACACTGAACTTGACTGACTAGGTATCCTGCATTTTGTAAAAAAATGGCTATGGAGGTCTGGCATTTTGTTCAGCGATGCTTTGGGTACAATGACATACTTGATAATGCAGAAAGGGGCCATCTATCCATCTTCCAACTAGTCATCCTAGTCAGAGACCAAGGAGCACAAAGCTACACACATAATTACTACAGTTTATATAATTCCCTCACTTGTGTGTGGCCCTTCGTCAGTGAAAAGTTTCAGCCTCTGTCTGGCACTGTCTCTTCAACGTCCATCTTCTATACCTGCCTGTCCAACGCAGGGTCACAGCAGTCTGGGGCCTTTCCCAGAAAGCTATGGGTGCAAGGCAGGGAAAATCCCAGGATGGGGTGCCAACCCATCACAGGGCACATATACCCACACATACCATTCATAGGGCACATATACCCACACATACCACTCACAACTCCAAGTCACCTTAGTACCTTAGGTGATAAGGGCTGCTTCAATGATGGGAGTGTACTGCAGAAACATCAGGGCCTGTAGCAGGGTCTGTTTCCTCAGTTGACTGACACAGTTTCCCTTTCAGTGACCAAATCAGTGAATCTCTCCCCTGATCCATCATGTCTCTGGGACTCAGTAAGCAGGACAGTTCAAGCTAAGTACTGTATCTGGAAATATATAAGATGCACCTATGAGAGACTGCAGCTGTAAGTTAGCATAAGCATTCGTCCTCAAAATCAGGAAAATACAGTGTTGGGCAGTAGTGTAGCTAGGGAAGGGGAGATCAGCTGCTGAGATTTACCAAAATGGGGGAGCACCAGTCATTTAGTTTTTTCAGTTTCTTCTTCATCTAGTTCGCTAACTCTACTGATTCACCCCAAAAAAAGATCATCTAATGCCGAATTCTTCGTCATAGTTGGACATGCGATATTTCTAGTGTTCAGGTTTTGGTACTTGCCTGTCAGATGAGTGAGCGAGTTTAATTTCCAAACCTGCTTATAACATTAGAACAGGTGGCCAATGTAAGGTTTACATCGCTTATACAAATGTTAGCTAGGTAGTTTAACCAATGTAATCTGACATCAGTAAACTGAGACAATATAATAATTGATGCTTCATTCTCCCTCTGGGGGGATTCTTTTTTACACCTCCCTCAACTTGCTCTTTTTTATAGAGTAAGCCAAGGTTTCTCAACCCAGTGCTCGGGGACCACCAGACGGTCCACGTTTTTGCTCTCTCCCAATTGGCAGGGAATTGGGAGAGAGCAAAAACATGGACCGTCTGGTGGTCCCCAAGGACCGGGTTGAGAAACCCTGGAGTAAGCCATGCATCTGTGAAGGGCAGCCACCTGTTGGGGTGCCCAGGAGGCTGGGGCTTAAGGGCCTTTTAAGTGACACTTTCTCAACATAAAACTTTATTTTTGTTACATCTTCCCATCTTAGTTAACAACTTAATTTTATAAGTTGGTCAAAACTAAAAATAAAAAATACTCTGTCAACTTAGTTATATATGTATTTTTGAACAGATATTTTTTGCCCTCCCTTAACATCTGAAAAATGACTGCAACTTCTGGAAGTGAGTTTCATCTGCGCGGAAGCTTTGGGCGCCTTCTGCCACACCAGGTACCTTACTTTTGATACGGTACACTGAATTTCCTTGATGTAAAGCTTTCATGCAGCGGAGCTATATTTTTTGAGAATAACTAGTTGCTTAACTTATATTTTTAAAGCAGCTAATCCAACACTGGGAAAATATAAAAATAAAGAATTGAATAATGCGGATAACAGCAACTGCAGTGACAAAATGGACAATTATGGTGGTTATATTACCACATAGTGTAATTCCTTCACCTGTCTTTCAAACTATACATCCATCCATCTCCCAACTGTTTATCCTAAGCAGTGTCATGGGCCCCTTGGAAGCCTTTCCCAGGAAATGCAAACCATAAAGCAGGGGACAGTGTGGACAGAATATGGCAGTCTATCATGGGGCTCGTACTGCAGCCATGAGGAAATCCATGCGTCAGAGACAACATGCAACCCTCTTGATTTCCATGCTGGTCTATGCTGGTTTGATGTGGGTGCAGCTGGTGGAGCAGCATAGCTGTGTTGGTCGACCTGCACATGAAGCTGGTCCACCACCAATATTTCATTAATGATGTTGGTCCACCAGCCCCAAAATACAACATATGCTGGTATAACCAGCATATATTATCCTGGCCATGCTAGTAACCAGCTATGCTGTTTTTTTTGCAGCAGGGAAACACTATACAGATATATGTTGATCTAATATTGTGATATTGTTGCCTGGATAAACAACACACCAGTGACACCATAAGGTCAGAACAGACCTTTTAACCAAAATGGGAAAATGTCACCGGAAGTGCTCGTCATGTTGAAACTGACCCGGAAGTAATCACTCTCGCGGTAACGGGCATTTTGTTTACGTCTAGCAACCGGTCGCTTGTGACTCTCCGTTTAGCCGGGGTACCGATTCTGTCCACTGATTTAGGGATCTGTATACACAGGCTGGTTCGCAATTGGCTTGCATGATAGTGGATTTTTAAAAAGAACTTTTAATCTCTGAAAATACTCCGAAAATAGATTTACGTATACCGGCATTTAGTTGTTATTTGTTGTTGTTATTGTTTTTGTTGTTGTTAAAATCATCAGAGTGATTAATCCAGGGGCAAATTTAGCGGCGCAAAGCTGAATACCCGAATCATGCTTAAGTTTAACGAGTTAAGTAAATTAAAGTATTAGCCATGAACAAGAGCGCTAGCAGCCCGTATTTGTTTATAAACAAGTTATTTTATTTTAATTGTATATGTCTTGCTTGTTCTTATCGTAATACGTTGAATACTATAATGTGTTATGAGTTGTAACCGATTGGATGGGCAACTTGTAGGAATGTAGCACGCCACCAGGAGGCGCCTTTGCAGCGGTTTGTAAAGCATGTGATGCTAGACGCTCTGAAACCGTATCCTGAACTGGGCTCAGCCTGCTTAGAAACTAGCAGCTTCACTGCCCAAAATAAAACGGCAATGTGTGTCTTGCGAGGATGTGGATGTGGGAGTGTTTAACTGCAGATTGTTATTAATATGGATGTGGTGCTGCATTACAAAGATCATCATGGGATTTTGTGTAACCTGGTGAGCAGAGCAGAAGGAGCTCTTGAGCACTTCCCACGCCGTGCTATTCCAGCATTTAGTCCATGGTTTCCATCTGGATATGACAAGTCATTACCATTAAAGCCACAAAGGGACCCACCTGTTGTTTCTGTGAAAGACCTCAAAGAGGTCAAGGGCTGTTTGCAGCAGCCAGAGCCTCTGGTGGCTTCCAGAATCACTGAATATGCCGAGGGCTTGAAGGACTTCTCTACCTCTCACTTGGAAGGTTTGCGGGCACGGCCATGGTCGTCTGCTGAGCATATAAACTCGATACATGGCCAGGAGACGCCCTCAAGTGGGAGAACAAAGCAGAGGAGATCGTGGAGTGTCTTCTGCCATGGGAGTGCATTCAACAAGAACATCCAGCCATTCTCCAAGCAGTTTCAGGAGGTTGTAGAACGTTGTCATCTCCACTTGCTTCAGCGGGCCAAGTGGATCATCCGGGAGCTCAACTGTGTTGCAAGCAGTCTGGAACATGTCTGGACAGTGTTGCTTCGGTCCATGAGGCAGTCCAAGCTCCCAACTTGCAACGTCAACATCCAGAGAGACCTGGGCCAGATATGGGTGTTTTGTGATGTTTTATATAGTGAATATGTTGGACAGTTTCTCAGATGCGAGTGTCAGCTGACTGGACAGATCAGTTTATCCGTTCACAAGCAAGGGGCAGTTTTTAGTATGTGAATATATGTGGTGGACTTATGAATTTGCCTCTTAAGCTTAGTGTTTATTTACAGATTGATTTTAATTGAACTTCTGTGAAAACTTATTGTATTTGTTTTATGATACACTCAAAATTCATAGTGTGGTTTAGTGTGTGGTAGTGTAAATTGGTGCACAAGTGCATTTTCCACATTTGTAAATCAGCAGGTCTTTTTAATGACTGCTTTGCTTCTTTGAGTCTTATTAAGATCATGGGTGAATATTTAACTATTCTTTCATTTTGAGTCAAAAATCCACAATCCATTTAATTTTAGACCTTCATTTGTCTAATTTACTAATAGTATGAAGGTGCTTAAATGCTCATACCCGAAATATGTCAATTTCTTTGAATAACAGGTCATTATAAATGAAATTACACAGAGCAAAGAGTGTCATATTTATATGTAAACTGGATGTCATTCAAATGAAAATTGAAAATGTAAAAAAAACATTCAAAAATGATTTTAAAAACTAAAAATAGACTATAATAACAAACACTGGTGTCCGAATCTGGTGAGTTGAGCACCTCTCCTGGAGAGCTGCAGTGGTCACATACAGCTGATGTTCAGAAGGGGCTACAGCACTGTCTGTGCAGCAGATGTCTCATTTCACTGGGAGATGCTTTCCTGACATGAAGCAAAGTTTTGTCTTACCACAGAACTGCAGCATGATGGTAGATGCATTTTGATACAAGAATGAACTTCGCCTTGATCTGTTCATTAAAGAAACATGAACTGTTTAGTCAGAAGCCTATTTCACATGACGGAAATGTGCATGGAAGCACAAATATCAAATGAACTGTTTAAAATAAACAGTGCTGGTTTCTCACCCACGCAAATAAAAATGGTCGTCAGTCATGACATCACTGGTGTATAATTAAACATTGTTCTAAATGGGAACCATGTTTTGTCTTGCATAGAGCAAAGGCTGTGGTTTGTGAATAAAAAAGCACACAGGCTCACTAAACGAAGCCGAGGACTAGTCTCGGCCGTCAAAGTGCTTGTCACATGGCCCAAAACAGGATCTCTGTGGTTCATAGGAACTAAAACGAGCCTCTGAAGATATCTTGTACATCTACAGCCAATCAGCTACAAGAATCTTCCGTACTTTCAGACCTTTTGTTGGCTGGTCTATTGGCGTCTAAAAACAGCAGCACGCAATACGCTATGTAACTTTGTCTTCTGCCATGCCTTAGCGCACGTTACCTGCAGCTAGAACTTTGTGATTGTAAACTGTTCTCAGGTGTGTGTGAATCCAGAGGACCACCAGAAAACACAGGGTCACTGCTTGTTAGCTTCACCATCCAGTAGCAGCTCTCTCTAGTTGATTGTGAACACGACCAAGGATCTTCCAAGGACCAAGCCTCCTGAAGACATCTTCATCTTTATGGTGGCTGCGCAGCTCAGCCATAAAAGGTCAGACTCTTGTATTTGTCAGCATAGCAAGTGTGGTCATGTAATATTAAGAGATATGAGATGGAAGGTAAAGTTAACTTGTGTTTTTATCTGTAATTGTTGTCTGATGTTCCCAAACATAGACAGTACAGTTTTTAGCACTAGCAAATGGAGTGGAGCTATGCTGCTGTGGGTATTTTATTTACTTCATTAATCATTAAAATTTGAAAAAAAAGTTGGAAAATTGGAAAAAAGTAATGACCATCCTCAGACATGCTGATCTACATCAACAGTAGGGGGCACTACATGTGATCATAGCACTCAACACTTCAATGATGGCAGATTGCTTTTTATTGCACGGAGCAGTGATCTGTGTGATCTAAGCCATACAGCAGTAGCGTTAGCATTATCTTTCACTGGCATGGATATGACTTTGTGACATTTTTTGATTCGTTTTTTTATATGTCTATAAAGTCCGAAATACAGATTGAAAGGAACAAACCTGTGAGTTTAATGACGCTTATACTGACAATGCACAATATGCTGTTTAGCAACAGTTTAAAGAAAAGGTTTATGGTTAGCCACACATCATTGCTGGACCTTCTCTGGCTGGGCCTGTTATTAGAGGCTCAAGAGAGAATGGGTGTCATTTTGGGGGTGTATATAAAAAAATAAATCTGATTTTTCATTGTGACTATATGCTCATATCTAAAAAGGTGTGTAGTACAGTGCATTGAAAAACATATACAGTACTGTGCAAAGTCTTAGGCGTATGTATGCGTGTGTATATGAATATCCATATATACACATGCATACATACGATAGCACACTGTTGTATAATTTCACACTATTGAGCCAAAACATGTGCAGTGAGTCTCGATGCCCTGTGTCGTGACACAGTAACTCATCAAAATTATCTGTCATTTGTTTCTGTTGCTTTGTAGCATGTGGGGTAGCCCTCATTCGCATCCCGCTTCGACGAGTCCTGGCCACCCGACACCCTGTCGGTAATCCATGGTTTTTCCCTCCTCAGACTCTCAGTAGGTACTCAGCATGGTTGATCATCAGCCCCCCAAAAGCCTTGCTGTCTTGGAGATGCTCTCATCCAGTAGTCTAACCATAATGATTTGGCCCTTGTCTGTTACTCAGATCTTAATCCCTGTCTATTTCTTCTGCATTCAGCATGTCCACAATAAGTACTAAATGTTAGTTTGCCATCTATTATATACCAGACCTTGAGACACACTGCTTTTACAAGATGGTCAACATTATTCGCTTCAGGTGCTGGTGGTCATTATATTTTGCTTATATATTTTTTTTAGGTATGTGTTAAAAGTGAAATTAGTCATATGATGGAAAATGTATCATTTCCTGTTAACAGGACGTTATGTTCTTTGAAGACCTTTGCCTCTTCTGTGGTTGGCGAGCAAATTTCCGGCTCTTGGTGAATTTTAGAACTGCCTCTGAAGAAGGCCTGTTCATTTTGGTACTTTCATTTTGTGATATGTGTGTATGAACACACTAAACATTTTTCGCAAGACGCTGAATCTACACGTACAGTTAAAAAAGCGAGCAGTGTGGGAATTGTTTTGGGCTCTCTTTGAAGTGCCCCTATCAAGAATACAACAAGGAAATGTTTCTGGAATATTTCTGGGAACTTGAAACCCTTAACGCTTACTACTGTGAGTTTGTGTTAACATGTCTTTGAATGCATGGTACGGCTAGGTGACCTGCATTTATCAGTTTCCAAAAATGGGCTTTAGATCCTTTTCAAAGTGCTGGTTGGGGCAGACCCATTGAGACAGCCCTGTTGGAGTCCTTTGAATGTATCTGACGGCGGGACAGGTTCAGAAGGGCCCATTAAGAACTGGCTTTGTGTAAGCCGAGCTCCACATGCAGAACCAGGAGTGGCCCAATGGCTACACCTGCTGGATGCAGCAGGACCATCAGCACTTGCACCATACAGGATAGATAGAGGAGACAAGGCACAATCATTTTTTCACTCTGCTAAAGGGTTTTCAGGCTGTTCATTTTCACCCTGCCACTCCTCCCCTCGCGAGCAGCGTGTGTATTCATTTGGCAGAACACGGCCCGCGTGTGGTTTAAGATTAGGCACCGTCGAGAGACAAAGGGAACGGGGGAGGGGGAGGCACAGGATAGAGAGAGAGGGAGCGCGAGAGTGCGCTTTTCAGATGACATCATCGCTCAGAGGACATGAAAGATGCAGCAGTGAGGCAGGAGTAGTCTGGTGATAAAGCTGACGCCTGATTGGTCAAAGTGTGTGATGTAATGCGTTACCAAGCTGTCCTCTGAAGCTTTTAAAATTATTTTCCAAACCTCCATTCAGAGAGGCATCAGAGAGGCTGGTATTTCAGGATAAAGATTTTGTGCTCATTTGACAAGCTCAGTGCATAACACTGTTCTGAAGATGGAAGATTTGGAAGCCAAGAGCAGGAGATCTGAGTGTGGATTTGTGGAAGATTTACTTTTTTACATAGAGATGGACCCACCAGGTAACACTGCAGCTGAGCTGTACCACTGAGAGCCAGTCAACATTAAGGCTTTGACTTGACAGTTCAGTCGAAGCCTCTTTGTCATCTGCTACTAATGATTTCTAATAGGTAGGTTTGGTACGTGAGTGTGTGTGTGTGTGTCATGCAATTTTCCTTGACACTTCTTCATGCAAGCAGCAGTGTGGTAATTCTGTGGTTTTGTTTGTCCGTGCATGAACTGTGTGTGTGTGTGTGTGTGTGTGCGCAAGAAGTGCCTTGCTTCATGATGCATGTGATTTTAGCACCTGACGGCTAGGTGCAGCCGATTGAACTAAACTGATGTTTGGGCTGCAAACTGTACACTTGTGTGACAAATGAATTACGAGGGACAAAGGTGCACAGCTTCTCATTTTGGTCTCCTGGTCCAGACAGCACTTGGAACCCCCAGTCTGTGGTATGCTTGTGGAGTGCGTTAATTAGTCACTCATGAAAGCGGTGAGAAACAGAAAAAAAATGCGTCACAAAATGTGTGGATGAGGTTGTCGTGTCATAAATCTGGAAAAATTAAAACCCAGTTGTATGATGCCACTGTTATTAATAGTCACTGGGGTAGAAACTGTACTTCCTTTCTGAAATGCAGTCCATTCACAACAGACTGCTTGTCAGATACAGCTATTCTGTGGGTTGCTAAAGATTCGTTACTTTTGAAATTTGACGGATATGAGGAAGAAAACTTCCACTGTTCCATGCAGTGCATTCCCTATGACTTGGTCCATTCTGTACAGTGCAGTCCTGGTGACTTGCTCCATTCCTTCCAGTGCTGTCCCACTGCCTTGCTCCATTCTGTGCAGTGACGTATTTCTGTTCCGCTCCATTCCATGCAGTGCCGTCCTTCTGTTTTGCTTCATTCCATGCAGTGATGTCTGTTTGGCTTAATCCTTTCCATACAGTGCTGTTGATTTGCGTCTGTCCATTCCGTGCAGTGCGGTCATTCTGCCTATCTCCATTCTGTGCAGTGTGGTTGTTCTTCTCTTCATTCTGTGTACTGTAGCTGTCATGCTTCTCCTCATTCCATGCAGTGCAGTCGTTCTGCTTCTCATGATTCCGTGCAAAGCTGTTGTTCTGTTTCTTTCCATTCCATGCAGTGCGGTCATTCTGCTTCTCTCTATTTTGTACAGTGCATACGTTCTGCTTCTCTCCATTTCGTGCAGTGTGGTTGTTTTGCTTCTCCCCATTCCATGCAGTGCGGTCATTGTGATATTCTCGATTCCGTGCAGTGCCTAAATTTTGCTTCTCTCCATTTCGTGCAGTGCGGTCATTTTGCTTCTCCCCATTCCATGCAGTGCGGTCATTGTGCTTTTCTGGATTCCGTGCAGTGCCATCATTCTGCTTCTTTTTATTCTGTGCAGTGCGGTCATTCTACTTTTTTCCATTACATGCAGCGCGGTCATTCTGTTTCTCTCCATTTTGTGCAGTGCAGTAATTCTGCTTCTCTTTATTCCATGCAGTGTGGTCATTCTACTTCTGTCCATTCTATGCGGTGCCATCTCTTTGATTCACTCCTCTGCTGTTTGGTTGCTCTCCATTCCATGCAGTGCGATTGTTCTTATTTGCTCCATTCTTTCCAGTGCCATTGTCTTGCTTCTCTCCATTCTGTGCAGTGATTGTTCAGTGACTATCCATTCCATGCAGTGCTGTTGGTCTACTTTGCTCCATTCTATGCAGTGCCATCCATTTGTTTTTCTTTGTTCTGTTCAATGCTGTCCCTCTGACTTAGTCCATTCTATACAGTACCATCTCTCAGTTAAACTTTATTCCATGTAGTGCCATCTGACTTATTCCATTGCATGCAGTGATATGCCTCTGACTTGCAGTATTCCGTGCAGTGCCATTCCAATGACTCTCTCAATTCCATGTCTGCCTATCCTTCTGTTTCCCTCCATTGCTTGCAGTGTCATCACTCTGACTGACTCC